CTCCCGTTACCGCCCGCTCCGGTCACGCGATCGGTGCCAGGGCCCCGCACTCGATCTCTCTCTGTCTGTCTCCTCCCCCTCTCTAGATATTGAGTTTGAGCACAGCAGGCAACGCACTGGAAGGACGCTTTTTGCCAATGCAGTCTCCACTCCTCGTTGGGCAGACCCTCTTCCATGATTTGGTTTTCCACTCCTCTTTTTAATTCTTGTGTTATGAAACTCTTTAGTAAGGCAAAAAAATGCACCTTGCGAGTGGAGGCAGAGAGACAATCCCACACGTCATCTACGTCTCCAGCTAAGTGGAGCTGAGTTGATTAGAGCTGCCACTGCTGGGCCTCGCCTCGCCCATCGCGCTTGGCTGAAGCCTCCTGATTACCCTAATGACCGCCCCGGGATTACGTAAATTGTGTACTCATCCTTTTCCAGCGGACATAATGACAATAGGGCTTCGCTTCGAGGAGGCTCTTGCATCCACATATCAACGTCCCAAGAACCGTAATTCGCAATCGTTCTTTTGTGGTACTGCATCGCTTATTGATGAAGTACCTGCGGTATTATTTACTAATCAGCTACAATGAACTGGGTGTGTGTGCAAAATAGCCATTCAGGCATAAGCCATAATTTTACCGGGTTGAAGATAATTGTATTTTCGACAATTCGGTATTTAGCGTTAATTGTCATATTCAAAGTAATAAGAAGAGTATTACTTTCAATACCAATGCAACCCGTACAATCACATTTGAAAGACTTATTGGGGTTCTCTCAATAGCAAACACATATGAGCTGGGTGGCATATGTCCCTCCATCAATCAAATCGAGTTTTGCAAACTAAGAAAGCTTAAAACATTTTTTTCTAAAATTGGCATTGCCTCTATCATCCACTGTTGTTTTTTTTAAATTTTATTTTCAGATTGTCGCTATTATCTACAGTTGAAGTGATTCAATATTGAAGTCGATCCTATATTTTTGTTCATTACTTTTTTATAAAAGGATATAATATTTGCACTACTTATTCGCTAGCCACAGCAGTCTCCGAAGGACTTCTGAAACTTCGAGTTGTAGGCTCCAATAATTGCCTGTACGGGACCTCCAGGTTCTGATAAATATTACTGGTACGTTAAGAATGTACGAGAATCAAAAACACAAAAATATAAAAGCATATATTTTGATAGAACAACATCGATGTGACTATTCTTTCTCTTGTACAATGCCTTATAATATCGTAAAGTCATTAATAAAATATTTAAAAACACCTCTTCTCGGTCGTTAACTGCACTCCTATTCTGAGTTTCCTTTGGATCTTATTCGCATTTAAACGGACCCAAGTCACTACAGTGCTTGATCCTGATACAAAACACATACTTTTTAGTCCATTTACTCTACTTTCGATGTTTCTTGAAAAACGCGAATGAAGAGAAAGCGATTTCGTACAGTCTCGCCAGTGTTAACGTCCAATTTCCAGTCTCTATGCTTTTCCAGACAACACGAATCCATTCCAACATTTCCCAACATTTAACAACTTAAAAAAATTATAATATCCTAAATGAATTCTGTTAACATCTACTACCGTTTGCTAATTCTAACAATCACAATTATTCTCACGATACGAATTTCAACTTCTTTCGAAACTACGAATTTACGAGACCCTAAATGACAGACTTCACGGTTTCATTACCTCTCTAGGAGTAATTCCTTCCTTCTCGACAAATAGAAAAAAACATTGCTAGGTTCTAGACCCTTAATACTCCACTTTGTCCCATTTTCGATTCTGCCGTCTATTTGTTCCGTAAACTGCCACAGCGTTCCGTCTGGTCTCTTACTTTAATACTGACCGAAATATATTCCAAATATCTTCAAGCAGCGGCGTACGTTCAATTGTATGCTACTACTTCAATACTCACAACGCATCTTTTATGATTTAACCTTCCTTTCTAGAGTGGTTTGCTGGACAGACGTCTACAATGTAAATAATTGTCCCACCTGGATCACCCAAACCGTATCAATACAGTCGTCTGATTGTGGGTCCCCTCAACACTTCGCTCCCTGCTTCGCGTTCGGCGGCTGCTCGTCCACGCACTCTTCTCGCAGCCCATGTCGCCATCGCCGCCGCAGGGCCTGCCGGGCCGCCGCGCCGCAGCCGGCGCTCCGCGTCCGCGCTCAGCTGCCGCCGCCAA